CGAACGCTTGCGAACGCTTGCGAACTCTTGCGAACGATTGCGGACGATTGCGAACGCTTGCGAACACAAACGCAACGACCTCGCGTCGCCTCCTGGACCCCTGGACCCCAACCTTAAAACGGGACCCCTTCTGCTACGCATTCGGGAAAACTGAGATTTCTCCAGGGCAGATCTAGCAATTCCTGCAATTACTAAACCCCAAATCCCAAGCCCTAAAACCCTAAACCTTAAACCCCAAATCGTGGTGCATCCCAAGCCTGTAGGGTCAAACCCTAATAGGGTTTAGGGTTTAGGGTTGGGTTTAGGGTTTAGGGTTCGGGTAGAACCGTAACCTAAATCCTAAACCACTCTTTCGCGCAGCAAAAGGCATCCCTGAGATGCAGCGGAGATCCGGGAAACTACCGGCGCAGCCTGAATGGCTTTGGTTTTTCACGAATAACAATAATTATCATGGGTTTAGGATTTATTTTTTAGTGTTAACAGTATTGTAGATATTAATACCAGTCATAAGAAGAATAGTAATCGCACAAAGGTTGTTATTGTTGTTAATATTATTGTCAATTGCTGTAATGATCTTCTTATATACTTGTATTAGGTTGAATATGATTGCTTATTGTTAAAATCTATGAGTAGTATTTTATTGTACAGTATATGGATGGTTGTCAAAATTATGGTCCCTTTTTGGGTACCCTAAATACTTGGGGCCGTATCATAATCGGGACCCAAAAAGGGACCATAATTTTGACAACCACCCATATAGCAGTATTCTTATATTATCTTGTTCTGTCATTTTTGGTGGGGGGGACCTTTTTGTCATGCCAGGGTAGGGAGAAGGCTTGTATTCTTTCTTTAAGGCATCAATTCAGAGTGTCTGACCCCTTTCAGGCTTGGGGCCCCAAACCCCTAAACCCTAAACCTTGGGGCCCTTGAGTGAGATGGCAGCTACTTTTCGGGCAGAGTCCTTTGCCCCTCCTCTTCGGCGGGGTCTTTCCTTTAGGTTCATGCTTTCCTCACAGGCTTCAGGTCCCCTTTCGGGCGCGGCCCTTCTCTTCTCCTCTCATACGGGCGAGCTTTATGTTAAG